GTGTGCGTGTGTGATGCAGTGAAGATGGTAGCAGATTGCTGCAGATTTATTTTCTGCTCCAAACTGTATTTAACTCTTTCAATCCACTTTCCAGTTTCTTTCATGTTTCTTTAAAATGACCTTTTGTGTCTTTCTTCATATTTCCTGTCATATTTCTCCTGTTCCACTGAGATGCGATGTTCATATTAAACGTGGCCAAAGATTCAGTTACTAAGCTGTCTAAGCACCTTATTGTCATTGCATATGTACAAGGAAATTATGGAAAATACATTATTTGACTGAATTCAATATTTGGTATTTTTATAAGAAATGATATAGATTTCATGTGGGTGATTAAAATGATAGTGAAGTGGTACAAAAAAGAAACCTGAGCCAATAAGATGAATTTTGTCAAATTTATTTAGTTTTTCAAGTTTTCAAGTGAACAAGATAAAATGGTAAATAAATAAATAAAATGGTAAATGGCCTATATTTATATAGTGCTTTACATATCCAGTCATCCACCCATTCACACACACATTCACACACTGGTGATGGCAGCTACATTGTAAATGTGAAGTTTAGATAAAATCTGGTGCTTAGTTACAGATCCTAGTTATTTTGTTTTTCCTGTATAACTTTCTGATCTGCGTCTGTCATTTAAACTCTGATGAAAAAGATCCTAAGATGAAAAACACACTACAGCTTTGTGCTTCTCTTTTTTTATCAGTGCGTGTCGTCACTTTGTACACTGAGTACTGCTGAGCTGCGTTGAAATGCAGTGATATTATCACTCAGCCAGTTACTTACTGCCGTGCATCATCCTATGAGTAAGTGCTGATGAAGCGAGGATCAGATTCCCGTTATTCCTGCTTTATCGCCCATTAAACGCTTGCTGCTAGCATGTCCGGGTTCAGCCAGTTTGGGCTACTAGAACAGCAGATTGCAACCTGATGTTGACTCACAATCAGGACCGGGAACTTCAAGACAATGATTGCTTGAGTGAGGGATGCTGACGTTCCCTTTGGCAAGACATGATGATGGCTCAGTAACTGACAGTGGAGATGGGGGAATGAGCTTGACAACTTGATCAAGTGCATGTGGTCAGTGGAGAGTGATGGCTCAGCGGTGACATCACACGACTCAACTCTATGATCTGTTGTGCAACAACTTTCCCATCCATATTTTTCCAGGAGTAGCTACACAACTATAGTTTTTTCTACTAATGGCAATTTCTCAGCCATGTGAATTTGATGCTTGTGTTTTATATTCATTCCTGCTAAAATCAGACAAAACCCCAGCATCTGTTAACAAATGTTATTTCATGCAGGCCTTTTCCCACTTGCATGATGGATGAATGGACAGAGTTCGTGTTTCCTCCATTTGAAACTGCTTCCGTAGGTTTAAGCGGGATTATTTTAACATTTAAGGATTAGGGGTAGGGCATCTCACGGTTTTGATAACCAAGTGCTGGTGAGTTGGTAATGTTTGAATGCTGTGATGGTGAGAGCTGAAAAGAAATACTCCTTTGGTATGACATGAACTGTGGGTACTTCTCACTTGTGGGCTATAAAAAGCTGGCACTTAAAACATGAAAAAATGTTTTTCCCCCCTTTTGATTTCTCTGAGTATTTATTAGTTGCTGACAGTTTGTTTTGCTATGAACCACCGGATGTCAATTAAACCTCAGTCACACAGTCGTAGAGACTTTTTGGTGACCCCCTGGTGACTCCCAGTCCCTACAGAAAAATAACTATTCCTCAACCAGTTGGTGAGTGGTCTGGACATTGTTGGCAGTTGCTGGTTAACCCTTTAAGACCTACCATAGAACCAAGTCCGCCAGAGCTTATATTATATTTTTACATGCTGTGGAGCCATTTCTGGGAGCATTTCAAGTTGCTATACAACCATTATAGCCCAAATTTTAATAATATGTCTGCATTAAGTGCATAGTAATTACATAAATTGCAAAAAAGTGCAATAAACTACAAAAAAATTGAAAATGGTTTTTGCTTTTTTAACATATATTTGTAGTTAGAGAAATTTAAGAGGCTTATCCCTCAAAACTGTAAATACAAAAAAGTTGCACAAACTAGTTTCCCACCACAGGAAATTTATTTTGAGTGTACTACAGGAAAAACGAAAATAAATACTATAATGCAAATTTGCAAAAAAGCAGCATCAAAATAAACAATTTCCAGCAGTGCAATATGAGTCCTCAGCATCCCAGAAACGATACAGAAAGTCATAAAGTCAACGATAACTTTTAAAAACACCAGTATAGGCTCATGAGGCCCTGATGGTAAAAAACTACATTTCCGTGAAAATGACATCACTTCCGGTTTCGGGCAGGTAATGGCGGACATGCAATAGTTTGCGCTGACGTCTATTCCAACGTAGGAAGTGTTATGAACAGCTGATCGGATCGGCAAAGCGTGTTTCTGGAATATTATGTTTTTGTTGCTGCAAGTGCTTTTTATGCAGTTTTTGCAAAGCTATAAGTGGAAGGAAACCATGACCGAGGACAAACTGATGGCATCAGATGTAAGTACAACTCCTCCGGTTTCGTATGCAAAAAAAATTATTGCGCTAGCTTACGTGATTGCAGTGCTACGGGATTTAAAAATAGTTGTGCAAAACAGAGCGTGCCCGCTCTGACCGGTTTTGAAGGGTTATAAGTGCAACCAAAAACCTCCTTGCATTTTATTTGGCTGCTAGCAAGTTGCTGAAATCATCTGTAGCTTGCTTGGAAGATGCCAGCTTGTTTGCAAACCCTGGGATTCTCAGGCAAATTCTGTAGTTCTGTTTCCTTCAAACTTATTATTATAGGAAACAATGCAAGCATTTGGGTACAGTTTAAAAAAATGAAGTAAACCGATTTTCAGTTAACACCAGTTGATGATTTAAGAACCGTCAGTGAATTTTTCTGATAAAATTTTTTTTTATTTGTTTCAACTGCACCAGAATTCTTTTTCAATGACTGAAATTTAGACTTAAACAAAAAGGAAAATCTGCAAATATAAAGAGAACTATATATTTGGATTTAAGCCATTTATATGGAAGAGGAATAACTGTGGCCCAAGAGTGGAGCCCTGATGAACACCAAACTTTTACTGTGCTTTTACAAAAAGGCAGCTCAACTCTATCATTGTTTCATTTTAGTTGTTAAGACTTAATGCCTTCAACTTTAAGGCACCCCAGTACTGCCATCAAGATGAGCCGTAATAAATATGTAGTCACATGTCACTTTATGTACAGTAAGTGAAAACATTTTCTCCTGGTTTCATGGTTGTTTCCTATAACAAACAGAATGAAAAAAATCACAAGCTGCTCTTCACTCTGCTGATTGCCGCGTTCGCCTGCCTGTAATTAGAGCTCTGATTACCCCGGCTTTCTGTCTCCATGGCTACTAATAGGCTTTTCTCCAATATGTCAGTCGGATAATCCAATGAAAACAAGTGAACAGTAATCCGACACTCAATCAGCCCACTTGGCAAG